TCAAATCCCTTGTTCATTTTCTAATTAGGTTATTCATATTTTTATTACTGTAAGAATCATGTACTTAAATACAGTCCCTTATCAGATATATTATTTGCAAATATTTTTCCCCATTCTGTGGATTGTTTCACTTTCTTCATAGTATCATTTGCAGCACAAAATTGTTAATTTTGACATAGTCCAATTTATCTTTTCTTTTGCTGCTCATGCTTTTGATGCCATATCTAAGAAGCTATTGTCTAATCCAGTGCCAGGAGTGTTTTCCTCTAAGAATTTTATAGTTGTAGTCCAAGTTTAGGCTTTTGATTCATTTTGGAAGGAAGGGTCCAACTTTATTCTTTTGCATGTGGATATCCAATTGTCCCAGCACCATTTGTTGAAAGTACACATTTAAGTGTGTGTGTGTGTGTGTGTGTGTGTGTGTGTGCTAGAGGCCCAATGCATGAAATTCTTGCAAGAGTAGGCCTTCCTTCCCCCAGCTGCCGGCACCGGCTTCCCTCTGGCCCCGGGACCCGAGCTTCCCTCGCAACCCTGGCTTCCTCTGGAAGGTCATCCGGAAGGATGTCTGGTCTAATTAGCAAATTATACTTTTCTTATTATATGTGTGTGTGTGTGTGTGTGTGTGTGTGTTTATTGATTTTAGAGAGAGAGGAAGGAAGAGAGAAGCATCTATCGGTTGCCTCCCATATGCAACCTGACCAGGGACTGAACCCACAACCTAGGCATGTGCCCTGACCAGGAATTGAACTGGTGACCTTCCAGTATATAGACCAGTGGTTCTCAATCTTCCTAATGCTGCAATCCTTCAATACAGTTCCTCATGTTGTGGTGACCCCCAACCATAAAATTATTTTCATTGCTACTTCATAACTGTAATTTTGCTACTGTTATGAATCGTCATGTAAATATCTGATATGCAGGATGTATTTTCATTGTTACAAATTGAACATAATTAAAGCATAGTGATGAATCACAAAAACAATATGTAATTATATATGTATTTTCCGATGGTCTTAGGCGACCTCTGTGAAAGGGTCGTTCGACCCCCAGGTTGAGAACCGCTGGTATAGACAATGCTGAAGCAACTGAGCCACATGGCCAGGGCAAAAATACACATTTTTAAATTGAGTTTACACCATGCTTTTACATAAACCTTGGAGGTCTTAAAAAAAACAAAGAATACTTTGAGCTAAAGCAGAGCGTTTGCCCCTAGGTGCTGCTCAGTGGTTAGAGCATCAGCCCTCAGACTGAAGGGTGGTGCATTAGATTCTGGTCAAGGGCATGTACCTTGGTTGCAGGCTTGATCCCTAACCCCAGTTGGGGCGTGTGTGGGAGGTAACCAATCCGTGTGTGTCTCTCACATCTATGTTTCTCTCTCTCTGTCTCTTCCCATCCCTTCCACTCTCTCTAAAAATCAGTGGGGAAAATATCCTCAAGTGAAGATTAACATCAACAAACAAGAGCAGAGAGTTTGGGGAAAGGATGTATCCCCTGTAGTGTGTAGGGTTCCTCAAAGCCTAGATGACCTGCCATTAGAAAAGTCTAAGTCTGATTTAATTGATTTGGGTTGGAGCCCTGCTACGAGATCATTAAAAGCTCTCCAGGTGATTTTGATGTGCAGGCATGCGTCAGCACTAGTGAGCTTCAAGGTTTACAGTCACAAAGAAAACCAAACAGGAGTCATTAGGAGGCGCTGCTGGAAGAGAGATCTACTGAGGTGTGCTGGCTTGTGGCATTTCAGCCTCCTTGTCTCTGCTGGACTATTGTCCTCTGCTCTTCCGGTGGTGGCACCTCTTTACTGAAACACTAGAGCAGCGGTGGGCAAACTATGGCCCGCAGGCCGGACCCGGCCTGTTTGAAATGAATAAAACTAAAAAAAAAAAAAAAAAGACCGTACCTTTTTATGTAATGATGTTTACTTTGAATGTATATTAGTTCACACAAACACTCCATCCATGCTTTTGTTCCGGCCCTCCGGTCCAGTTTAAGAACCCATTGTGGCCCTTGAGTCAAAAAGTTTGCCCACCCCTGCACTAGAGTGTACCCTTCATTGGTTTTTGAGATTAGAAACACTTTGGGAATGAAGGATATGAAATATGAGAACCTTTTGCATTAAAAAAAAAAATAGAAGAGAGCATAAATCTCTAGCACTGTTTTTTTTCCCTTTATAAATGAAGAAAAATATTAATGTTCTGTAACAAAAGCACTTTTTTAAGAGGACTAAACTAATTTTTTAAAAAATATATTTTATTGATTTTTTTACAGAGAGGAAGGGAGAGAGATAGAGAGTCAGAAACATCGATGAGAGAGAAACATCGATCAGCTGCCTCCTGCACGCCCCCCACTGGGGATGTGCCCGCAACCCAGGTACATGCCCTTGACCGGAATCGAACCTGGGCCTTTCAGTCCGCAGGCCGACGCTCTATCCACTGAGCCAAGCCGATTAGGGCTAAACATTATTTTTATGGATCTGAAAATTATTTTTTGCTTGAAAGAGAGAGATTGGGCACCAATACTATTTCTTTAGTTTTAGGTTTTTTGCTTTTTAAAAATATGTTTTTATTGATTTTTTTAGAGAGAGGAAGGGAGAGGGAGAGAGAGAGTGAAACATTGATGAGAGAGAGAAACATCAATCAGCTGCCTCCTGCACTG